TCCACCAGGGGGTGACCTCATTAAAGCTGTAGTTCACACGTGGTTAAAACAGCTGAATTCCAGAGGTGAGGTGAAAGTGACTGCCCCTCTACATCGCAGCTGAATTTGACCGGGTATGGCATCAAGGAGCCCCAGCAAAACTGGCGTCAACAGGAATTGGGGGAAAACTTCTGGCTGAAGTCATACCTGGCACAAAGGAAGATGGTTGTGGTTGTTGGGACTCATGACACCTCTGCAACTGTCCCTCAGGTTAGTGTCCCAGGCCCAAACATTTTCAGCTACTTCGTCAACAACTTTCCCTCCATTATAAGGTCAGCAATATTCACCAATAATTACACAATGTTCAGCTCCATTCACAACTTCTCAGATCCTGAAGCAGTCCATGTTCAGATGCAACGAGATCTGGATAATACCCAGGCTTGGAATGAAATGCAGCAAGTAACAGAAGCCACACAAATGACAGGAATTTACCATCTCCAGTAAGAGACGATCTAACCACCATTCCTTGACATTCAATGGTATTACAATTACTTAATCCCCCACTATTAACATCCTAGGGATTACCATTGACCAGAAACTGAATTGGCCTAGCCATATAAATATAGTGGTTACAAAAGCACATCAGAGGTAGGAATACTGCAGCAAGTAATTCACCTCCTGACTCCCCAAAGTCTTTTGACTACCTACTAGCCTCAAGGCAGGAATGCGATGGCACACTCCCCACTTGCCTGGATGGGTGCAGCTCCAATGATACTGAAGAAGCTTAACATTATCCAGGAAAAAGCAGCCCACTTGATTGGCACCACATCTACAGACTTCCACTCCCTCCACCATCGACATTCAACAGCGGCAGTGTGTACTATTTACAAGATGCACTGTGGAAATTCACCAACGCTGCTTAGCCAACACCTGCCAAACCCACAACCACTTCCATCTAGAAGGACAAGGGCAGCAGACATGTGGGAATGTCACGAACTGTAAGATCCTATCCAAACCACCCAACTTTCTGACATGGAAATATATCACCATTCCTGCGGTATTGTTGGGTCAAAATCATGGATTTCCCTTCCTAACAGCATTACGGATCTACCTCGAGCATGAGATTGCAGCCGTTAAAAAAGGCAGCTTACCACCACCTTCTCGAGGACAACTAAGGATGGGCAACAAATGTTGGCTCAGCTAGTGACACACACATTCCATGAATTTTTTTTAAACTCATTTTACACCTACTTGCATGCCCACAGCATCTCTGCATTTGTTTTTCTTCCTGCTTTTCCACTTATTCAAAACTTATAGGCTTACAGGCATTCTGTCTTCTAGCACAGACACAAAGCTCAGCAGCTCGCCATGACTGTTTGCAGTGATCAGTCAAGAAAGTGGAAATGTTGCGGCATTGCACCATGCTATATCAATGTCACACACAAAGCATCAGCCAGCAGCTTACATGGCAAACTCACTACATGTGCTTAGCCAAAAGGCTATGTCTCAAAGTCTAAGGGAAGTAATCCTCAATCAAGCGAAGGTGGACTCTCGTCAATCAGGGTGTGTCTCAACAATCAGTCAAGGGCAGCACCAATCTCAGTCCAGGAGCTTGGACACAGCCAGTCAGCCAATGGGGTGACTTGGTTCAGGGAGTCAGCCAGGATCAATCTCACAGGTTCAGTGCAACCTGTCAGGGGATTGCAGTAAGTCAATTGAAGAGTTGATGAGAGATTGGTCAGGTCTGATCACTCATCAGTCAGGGGTGCCCTTCCAGTGGGTCAGGAGGATTGACCATAGTCAGCTTTGGGGTCTGTTCACTGAAAGTCAAGGTGAATTATTAAGTTACTGATATATATTCTGTGGTAGGGAAGGTGGGGAAATCAATTGTGGGATTGGAGGGAACATGCTAGGATACACAGGGGACAATAATTGTGACAGAGGGCAGCTCAATATTTAAATTGGGAGACAATCATACATTGGAAGACATAGGTTACTGCAGGAAGGATTAATTGATGGCCTCCATACCCCTGCCTTCAATGGGGTGACAATACATCATGATGGTTGCCATGACCAGGCTCTAGATCCAGGGCTCAGAGGGTAACATTGGGAAATGAAAACATAAGCATGAGTTGAGTGAGAACATGTGCAAGCTCAGAATTGGTGAAGTTGACAGGGAGTGCAAAGAACAAAGAAAGAAATATGGAGGTTAGGGTTCCCCAGATTACTAGGCTGAGCCTATGACGGACTCTGTAAAGTGCAACCTGTGTTGTCTTCCACCCTCAACCTAATTAGAAACACACAATAGAAATGAAAAGTTGCTGTGAACACCTGGAATTGATGGAGTAAGTGTCTTTTTCTGTTTGAACTTGCAGGCTCTACTTGTGAGCAACATGAAATGCATCAAGGGTATTCATCTGGGCACTTACACAGTACTGGCTTAAGATATTTCTAATCATACGGTTCGATTTGCAAAATGTATGCAGTAACCAAATATGTGGGATACAAATCCTGGCCATAAGCAATCTTGGCCATATCACTGGTCATTACACGTGATCATAGTCATTTCTGTGAAGCAAAAACAAACACTTTGCTTATTTCTTCTCTGCTTTTCTTGTTGTTGAATAGAAGTCAATTTTTTCAACAGTTTGAAGGCTCCCACATTGAACAATAAGATATTATGCTATGCTGGGCATTGGCAAAAGATTAGCAGTCTCTCCATCAGGGTTCCAACATGATATGGCACCAAGGATGGGTAGCCTGTGGAGGTTAATTCTCATAGCTGGAGTTATAATGGCACTTTATCAGACAGCTGGTGATATAAAGTAGCAATACACTTACAAATATGATCTTCTATGGCCGTTGAGAAGTCACCTGTGTGCCCTCAGAAATTGTTCTTTTTCATTTCCCTCCCATTACATATACTGTGAAGAGCCATTTGTGGCTGCCTGAAATTGACCTAGTGTACAGCTGGGCTTTAAATATGGCACTGGTGTCAAAATGCCTGGAAGCTTCAAACCGTGGCAAGCACGCACAGCACCATAGAGCCATGGCCCATATAAGATGAGCAATGGAGAATGTGTGAGGCACCTCACCAGAACCAACTGAGAGAAACCCACCATGAAACTCCCCGAAATTTATACTTAGCTGAATTTTGCTAAATGTTTTGCTAAAATTCAGCCCACTGTACATTGTTTTACGTTCTTGACTTTGAATAGTAAAGTTAACTTTGTTTGTTTAAAAACCATAGAACCTTGTGGCTTTCTTCTCTTTGTAAGAATCCGGGATTTCAAATTTTGTCTACTTTCATACAAAAGTTATGAGCTTGTAACCAGATCATACCCAAACTTGGAGGGCTTTTGGATTGTAACAAAGTCATGAAGCTCAAACAGATCTTTCCACCTATCAAAAACCTTTGCATCTACTTCATAAATATGGGATTCCCACACTATGGGTTTAGAGCCTTGAATTTAGCACTAATTTCAAATGACCTGAGTTCATGATTCCTACACCTGTGACTCACACCTTCCCCCTTCCTCCATTGACAAAACTGAGATCCTGCAGAAATAGGGTGGGACTTCAGGATTGGACCCATCCACCATTTTCCAAGGCCTCTAAAGTCAGCCTGACAACACAGTGATCAGCCCTAAACTTCAAATATTCAATGTTTGCACGTCAATTAATTAATCAATTATGCACTATTTTTCAGTGACTCTACATGCATAAATACCCATGACATTTCTCTATCCTAAATTACATGAAATCACAATTTTATGTTGAAGTTTTAACATCTATTCAGCCGATGTTTTCCCCATTTGGAATTATCAAAAGACTACTTGACAGTAATTAGCATATTAACAAATTTCTAACTTCCCACCAAAGTTTAATGCAGGCAAGAATTTTTTTAAATTTATTCATGGGATGAGGCTGTCACTGCTAGGCAGCATTTATTGCCCATCCCTAATTGCCCAGAGGGCAGGTATGAGTCAACCACATTGCTTTGGGTCTGGAGTCACATGTAGGCCAGACCAGGTAGGCATAGCAGTTTCCTTCCCCAAAGGATATTAGTGATGGATTTTTCCCCAACAATTGACGATAGATTCACGGTCATTAATAGACTCTTAATTCCAAATATTTTATTGACTTCAAATACCGCCATCTGCCATGGTGGGATTCAAACCCAGGTCCCCAGAATGTTATCTGGGTCTCTGGATTAACAGTCCAACGATAGTACCACTAGGCCATTGCCTCCCCTGAAAACATGAATGATAAACTTCCAAAAATGTTTTTCCAATTTATGGTATTTTATTAGTTATTAATCTGTGACCTACCAATATTATATGAGTGTAACACAAAATTTCTCTTGATTCCTTAAAATATTTTTAATCTTTGTGGAAAAATATATTGATCTTGACAGTTAAGGAGCGAATGAACCCTATGTTTAATTGACTTGTTACATTAAGGAGATAGAATTTAAATTTTAGAATAAGAAAGTCAGTAAAATAGTCCAACAGCAAACTTGTCACCAACTGGTGACTTTTGTGAATAGAGTCAACATAGCTTTCCTTAAGTTTTGTAACTTTTCTGCTCAGTTTTCTTGTGGCACTTAACAGATTGCTTATTGTAATCTTGTATTTTTTTGCTTTCTTTGGATTTTTTTATTGTTTTTGCTTTCAGCGACCTAGTATGCTATCTCCATGGATTGTTTTCTTTTAACTTAAAGTACTCTCGCTCCTATGTTAAACTACTTGAACACTGATCTTGCCTTCAGAAACAAATTTGTATTTTATTAGTGAGAAATGTCTGAGTCATTGCTTGCAATTATGACTTTAAGCTTAAATGTAACCATTGACCTAAAACATTTAAAGGATTGAACTTCACAAAATGTCACACCTTGGAATATCATTAGGCACATGTAAATAACGCCCTTTAGTTTTATAGTAAGTAAGTGCTGGATTTCAAAGTTTTTGAGGAATTTCTATAAATATAACATTATATAGTATTTCTTGTGCTGAACATAGGGGGCCCAACACAACCCCAAGGACCACATCCACAAAGCCAAGGCCTACTGCCACAACATCATGCTTCTCCTGAGGGGCCACGTCCACAAGGAGGTCCGCGTCCTACTGGCCCCCCAACTCAACAACAAAGGCTACCAAGCCAAGCAATGCAACAACCACGGACTACTTTGCAATCCCAGCGACCACAAGGCCAACCACTGAAGGGGCAACCTGAGCAGAAGATGCAAGCACAGCCTGCACTCAAATCCCAGCCAACAACCCCTCAACAACAGCCACAGCCTCATCCTCAGTTAAAGTAAGATATTGTTAATTTTAGCTTTTATTTTTGAAACTTTCAAATGTTAGACAACAAACATTGGTAATCCAACAAAAAAAAAGTAGGATTTGGCTACTAGTTCAAATTCAGAGCTTCAAATTATTAAATTGGATACAAAATAAGCAAGCAAGGAGTGTTGCTTCCCTTCCTTAAGATCTGAAATGATTGAAAGTGCAATATGAAACTCAAGGTGTTCCATTCAACAGGATGTGAGACTGTTCATCCCACTTCTTCCCTCTTCTCCATCCTATCTCTTCCTTTTATGCCTTACGTCAAACCATATCTTTACCAGCTGGTAAGTTTCCACCAACTATTTTCACTTCATTTTTATTTCTGATATTCTCGGTTCCCCACTTTCTCTCCCATTCCCTTTAGCGTTTCCCCCTTTCTCATCCCCTTTACCACTTATATTTGCACACATCTCTTCCCTATCTTCATACACCCCCTCTCCTCCTCCTGTTCAGTTCTCCCTTTTGGTTTAGTCATGATTTTATTGTTTTCATTCTTTGTTCTGAATTGTATGTTATCTCCTACACAGCAAGCCAGTTAAAAGGTTGTGCACTACAAGTAAAAGGCAGTTTAAAAGAAATGAACTGAAAGTACCTGGGTATCTGGGTTCCTAAATCAAGGCACCAGTTGTACCAGATTTAATCAACAGTATGCACAAAATTACTATGAAAACATGAAGTTCTGGAAATACCTAGCAAGTGAGACAATATCAAAGGTGAAAGGAACTGAGTTGCAAATTTAAAAAGCTTTCTAGTTCTTTTGATTGGATCCGAATTCAATTTCATCAACTGTTCATAATGATACCACCTCCAAGAAAATTCTGCCAGGCCATGAATTATAAAATCATAATTCAAGATAACTCATGTGGTTGCTCAGATACTGCAGATGCAGGGTCACTTACTCTTTCAAACCAACTTACTATTTTCCCCATTGCCCACACTGATTTGGTACAGTGCCCAGTGTCACCATTACTTGCACTGAGTGCACAAGAGACAAGTTTGTTCAGGCAGGACTCCTGATAAATTTTATAATTTTTTTCCTGATGCAACCAACGATGGGCACAACTTAATTCACAGTCCTTTTGGCTGGTAATTTTAGAAATTAACATCCCTTCTCTTAAATCATTGTTTTGGCAAAATCCAGTGTGTCATAAAACTACGTTGATCTCCATATTTTGTTTATGATATGTCAATTTGGCTTCATGTAAATTAGATCTTGTGAGCTATAAGCAGCTATATAGACAGATATTAGAAATATATTCCATTTTTTAAAAATCTCAAACTGTAAATTTCTTGAATTAAGCTTATTTTCCTTAAAATCAGCATCAACAGAAAAGTTACCATTTTTCAGACTGTTCAGAAAATGTATCAATATTAATTTATTGTTATTCAACAAGTGTCATAGATTGATTAGGGCATATTTTATAGTGCTTATAGAACAAAGATAAGACATAAATTGAGATGTTATCACTTTCAAGATGGAGATGACTTTCTAAGAATAAAATTAGATGGTTTATTGAAAATCTAATATCTTCCATTTATGTAAAAAAAAATGTTTCTTTTTGGTTTTCAGCAAATCACAGTCTTTGACCAATGCATTCAACATTACGGAATCATCATTATTTCGATCAAATTTGAATGAGGATGAAGCTAAAGCTGAAACAATTCGTAATTTGAGGAAGTCCTTTGCCAGCTTATTTTCCGATTAGAAGAAATTGAATGGCTTGAAGTGTTGGTTTACCCCATGTCAATGTTCCACCAAGCTGTAGAGTGCTACTTTCAGTGATAGTAGACAAATTTGTTTTGTTGCCCTAGAGTTGATGCCTTCTATAATGCATTTGCAGATGCTAGTGTGGTATGCACATAATAAGATGTGGTTTAATGAGTTATTTTAGGTCAGTTAGATGCAACAAGACTCTGGTAAACTTAAAACAGATAATACTCTATTTAAGTCAGAACTAGTGCAATATTTGAGTGGTTTCAACAGGGGAAAGAAATTAATCTTTAGCATATTCACTGTGATGTTGTGGTATGTGCACAGAGATGCCTTATAGTGAATGTATTATTTCTATATTTTATCCATAAGGAATTGTGACAATAGGGTACTCAATTAAACTGTGCTTCTTTCTGTTGACAGAATACAATATTAATTAACAAACTGCTTTTGTGATTAACTAGACTATGCTGTAATAAGTTTGACTCAGTACATGTGTTGTGGCCAATCTACAAATTACTTTTGAATTGATCAAAAGTAACAAAAAAAAACCCATCAGTATTAACTGTGAATTGATTGAAATCACTTTGTAATATTAGGAATGAATAAACATTGCATTCCTTAACATTTGCACTTCTAAAAACTGCTTTCTTCTTAAATGTAACTTATAAAAGTAATTGCAGTTGTAGAATAATTTCCTATAGATATCAATGTAATTTAAAGTCTGTTATCTTAGTGTGTCATAAAATCTAATATGTAGTAAGTTGTTATTGTTAATATATTTTAGTCTTTTGCTTGCTTTTCTATCCCAGTATAGCTTGTATGATCTGATAAAACTAAACAACTTTGTGTCCAGTGAGCATATACTCATCAAATAAATGAGCATTGTGACTTTTTGGGGAGATACCTCCAAAGGAAACCAGATATTACAGCATATTAAAGTCGTCATATTTTGCTCTATATAATAGCCATATAAGCATCATCTGATATAACTGATATATTACCATTTTGGTATTTCATCACTTTATTGTAGAATGTTGGTGAATTAAACCTACAGTATACCACATACCAATCATATACTGATACTTATCAACATTAAGAATAAAGTCACAGAAATTTAACATCTTTAACAGCAATCAGTCTCTCATTATAGGTGCAGATGCAAAGATGAAAAAGCTACTGTAGAATTTAAGCACAGAAGTAAGCTTGTAAATTGTAGATAACTAAAAAAAGTCAGGGAAGTTGAAAACTGAAAGTTGTAAGTAAAGAAAGTGGAAGACAGTTTGGCAAGCCATTCATTGAGAAAGCCTGATTCATTGTTTTTTCAGAGCGAGGTGCAATTTCACACTAGTTCATTTGCTAATCCTTCATCCAAGAACCTGCCAATTGGATCACAGCAGCAATTCCCTACATTTCTAAGTTTGTGTCCTCAACCTGAGGCAAAGTGTAATATTAATATCTTTATCTATGAGTCACACATATGATGGTAATATGAAAGTACAGTTTATCATCCCTGGTTGTAATTTAAGTTGACAAAGGAGTTGCATCAGCTCCCTGAGCATGTTTTGTTTTACAAACTTTTTAAAAGTTTTACAATATATTGCCAACATTATGTTCTCTCTCGTGCCTTCTATCTAAGACACCAATTGGAATAAACTATTCTGCCTGCTTTTCCTGATGGAATTCTACAACAGGTTGATTCTTGTTTACGAATGCCCTAAATTTAGTTTTCAGTTTTTACATTCAAATGAAAGGCTTTGCAAGTAAATGTCTACTGATGCAATGCAGGTAATTCTGTATTAGTAGTCACATTAATCCCCATTTATCATTTTAATTAAATAATACAGTACATTAAATCCAAATTATGTTTATAAACTATAACAATTCATTGTTATATTCAGGTAGCCCAATCATAGCAAAATTCATACCATCCCAAGATTTTATGGCAAGGTGTTCTCGATAAAGATTTATCCAAAATTACAATGTAATTCACAATTACATGTGAGAAAGAGGACAGCAAGGATTTAATTTAATCACATGTTGGTCTTGTCAAACAAGTACATATAAGAAACAGTAGTATTCTAAACTATACCAGAATAATCAAGCTACCATTTGTTATCCTACCACTAACTGGTACATATACAGTACGAAGTTAAGGGAATGTTAGCCATCATAGTTTCAATTGCACAAATAATTTTAATATTGGTTATTAATTTTTCAGATTAATTTTTAGTGGGCTGCAGTGGTTCAAGAAAACAGCTCCCACCACCTTCTCAAGGGCAACTAGGGATGAGCAATAAATGCTGGCCAGCCAGTGACACCCACTTCCCACAAATGAATAAAAACAAAGTTCTTAGTTTAGATATGAATATTTATATATTTAAATATAATTAACAAAACGTTCATTAAGCATGATTTTGTAATTAACAAATATAATGTGGATGGCTGCAATTATAATCAATAGATATTACAGAGATACATTTTAGCCATGAAAATATGGTTCAAAGTAATTTAAAGTTCACCAGAGTTTTCATGTCTTCGATTATCTGAGAAACACGTTTTTGATAGCCATGTCCTTGCAGCATTTGAACTTGGATAAGGTCTTGAGCAATATTGAGAATAAATGTTTATGTAAGACTGTCCATCTATGTTCCATACTAAAGAAAGAAACTTGCACAGCGCCAGAGCATATCACTAATTAAGTATTTTTGTAGTTCCATTTACTTAGTAAAACAAATATACAGTCAATTTGCCCATAGTTAGGCCCCACAAATAGAAATGAGGTGGATAATTGGGCATCTTTTTGTATTATGTTAGTTTAGGGATATGTTTTAGCCAGTGCACTGTGAATGTTCCTCTTGCTTTTCTGCAATGGGATCCATTATGTTAACCTGAGAGGGTTGACAAGAACATTGATATTTTCATAAGAACTTCAGAAAATTCTTGATTCCAGTCCAGTAAGACTTTGCTATTCCCTATTCACAATGATGCCAAATCAAATTATTGTCAAGGCTTTCTTTCATATTAAAGCTATGAATTTTATTTAGTGTAATTATTTTAAATCTCACTTTTCTGGATATTTGGGGAAATAAAATGCCAAAATTCAATAAGAATGCCTTTTCACAGCCTTGGTAATGGAATTAACTGAAAAACAACATGATCTGTGCAATTAAAATTATCACAAGTCAATTCTAATTTAAACTTTAAAAAGCAGCAGTTTCCACAACTATTCCAAGGGCAAATACATAATTAAAATTTCATGTATTGTTTGATGATGATATTCATTAATTAATTTATTTCAAAATATTAGGTTCTCATGAACTAGAAAATAATCTGTGAGTATATGAGAAAATAATCTATGAATATCGATGGATGAATTATTTGTATACTATAAAAACGTCCTTTGGTGAACATAATATAGAGTCAACATAGTGATTCCCATTTCCCAAATATACCTCTTATTTCCTCTGAAAGTTCAAAATAATTCTCTAGATATTGCTGTTTGATAGTCATTCACTGAGAATGTATAGTATTTTAAGCTGAAGAACTCTAAAATAGAAAAAGATCAGGAACCTGGGTGGAATCTGCTTCTAACTTTTTTTTCAGAAAGAGTTTTACAAAGTGGAGCAAAGGTTGCTTCTTCTGCTCACCTGTATCAAACAGAATCCTGCCTGACATTACCAGTTATGCTTCTCATAGGAGAAAGTAAACTTGCATGAAGCAGATGCACTTGTTAGATGCATAGGGTCATATTTTGGCACCACAATGTCACAATCAAGTTACAATCTACCCAATTGAGATAAATTATTGTTTGGATGCCTCATCCATGGTCAGGGAGCATCAAGGATGGCAACTGTAATGAGACTATGTAGTTCTCTTCCTCAGCTCACTCCGACAGAGCTCTCAATTCTGCATGCACTACAGAGCGGGAACCATGGTACCATTATTAAAAAATCACTTTCACATTTAGTTGGGCCTCATCCCCAAGATTCAATGACATCATGGAAAAGTCCTAAAGGTAGAGGGTCTGATCCATGTGCCCCTGCTACAGAAATTGTGTTTTAGGATTTCTAGATTATTAGAGCTTATTTTAATCCCAGTGGGAAATCAGAGAGAATGGCCTGCAACTTGCATACAATTTTTAATTGAAGGCCCCAGAGTAAGCTCACTATTTGGGACAAGTTAAGGCACTCATTGTTCCTTTTTTCATGGGCCCATAGAATAATGTATTCAACCAGAAGAACGGAAAGTGGATCATTCTATTACATAAACTGCAGTACAGATACCACATTAATCTTATGTTCATGTACAAACAGACATTCAGAATCTCATCTATTGGATGTTAGTACTCATGAAGCATGTGACAAATTGAGAGTGATGAGGTCTTAAGCAGAAAGGAACGGCAATAAGTGACAAGGAAAGATTTATAAAAGCAACAGTTAAAAGTGCATGTTTAGGGAAAACCTCCTCTCATTTTCCAAAAACAGTTTAATGTGGTAATGTTGTTTATTTTGACAGCATTTCATGCACAAACTGAAAATAAATAATACAGGTGAGTTCAGAGAAACTGGTTTTCCTGATATTGTTTTCAATGCAAATGTTAATATAAACATTTATAAATGAGAAGCTGTACAATTTATTTGGTTATTCTTGTGATTTTTTTAAATTTACCAGATATCTGTCATTTTGTGGCCTGCTACACATACCTATGAGCTAGTAATAATCAAATTGTCATTTGGTGCTAAGGAACTTGTGCACTGCTGAAAAATGACATATTCTGCTTAAGCTTTTTCATTTTGCACTCATCAGGAAAATTTGCAAAAGATAGAAAAGGGCAAAGGGGACTGTTATTGATAAAGACTTTGCCATGGAGAATGCACCAATTAGATTATGACTAAGACTAAACTGACAAGCATTGTTGAAATTTAAACCTTGCAGATTGACTCTGATTAGTCAAGCCAATGTCCTGAAAAATAAGCAGGAGAATGGCTGTTACCTGTTTGGTTGAGTTGGAACAGCTGCAACACATTTACTTTCTGACTGCAAAGCTCGAGAGACCTGAATATAATGCATGTAGCTTCTAGTATATGCAAGTGCACCACACTAGAAGTCCAACTGACAAACAAAAATTAGTTATCAGTGTAATTCTCAGCACACTCGAGCTTATTGAGCAAATGGTGTCCAATGGCAATATCGGATTTAATGTTCAATACTGTAATTTGGGTTTTGCAAGCATGGGCGAGTTGGTTATGGTCAGTCCCTTGCTTGCTGTGAACAGCTGGAGGGATATGCTACTTGATATCATTTGCCAGTCTTTTAGACATACCTGCATCACACCATCAAGAAAAGTCATACATCATGAACAAAATCTTCTTAGGGGCAAAAACAACCACGGACTATAGTGATAAATGTGTACAGATTCACGTAAGATATCCTGTGGGGCCTATCCCAACATCCAGAACAACTCACTGCATTTTTTTTACTAAGTTGAAGCCATCAAGGTGAGATTTTTGC